CAGCACCTGAGCATGCTGGTGCCCTAATCTTGGACTGCCAGCCTCCAGAACTGTGAGAAGATAAATTTCTATTTAAACCACCAGTCTGTGGTATTTTATTATGGCAGCCTGATCTAAGACAACTTGTCAAGATCCATAAGGTAAGAATCACTTGCATCTCTACCAATCAAAATTAACATTTAGGTCTATAGACAAGAGTGACTTGGCATTGCTATCAGTTTTCTACAACTTACAGAGTTGCAAAATAGCCCAAAGATGATGAAAGGACATAGAAAATTGCACTAGACAGGATACCTAGTAATCCTTCCTGGCAATTTCAAGCTCTCTCATAAGTTTCCCTGACATATCTAAACAACCATCTATAAGATAATTGCCCTGAAGTTACTCCAGAGGAGACCTGCTGTCACCTCTTTTGATTAAATCTTTTTTATTCAAGCATAGGCAACTTTTGTTTGTCTTTATTACAAGTGCAATCCAAGTTCGTACCAACCAAAAGGAACACTAGGGAGTCAGAGCCACAAAGATGTCATCTTAGCACCCAACTTGGTCCTCACTAGCAAACTCTGGAACCCTCATGCCCTTCCTATTTTGTTAAGGGATCCAGGCTGCAGCGTTGTATAAGCTCTGCTATAAATGGTTGTTCTCATCATGGCTAATTCAAGGCTTCAGATCCCCTTAAGTTTTTACCTTGTAGTTCCCTGGACACCACTGATCTCCTTGGCCTCAGCCACTACTATGTGACACCTTACTGAGGTCACCCATAATGTCATGTGAAGCTGCTTATTCTACTCTCCCAGTCACTCACTGACAAACAAAAAGGAACAAATGAAAGTGAAAAGAGTTATCATTTATTGAGCTCCTACTATGTGCCAAGCCTTTAGGTAGTATTCATTCTTTAAACTTGTGACATTTTTGTTTCTGCTTTGGCAGTTAAAAGTAAATTGTACCTCCCCTAAAAGAATGTGCCCCAAATAAAATTAATTTCACATTTTTAAAATTTTTTAGTATCTCATACCTCATCCATATCTAAATTTTCCCAGTTGTCCCAAAAAAATGTCCTTTGCAGTTGGTCTATAAACCAGGATCCAATCCAGGACAGTGCAACTAGTGGTCATGTTCCTTTAAGTCTTAATCTAGAAAAAGATCCCTCTTCATTGACTTCTTGTTGAAGAGGCAGGACTAGTTCTATAAAATGTCCTTCTTTCTGGATTTGAATACTGCTTCCTCATGGTATTTATTTAACTTGTGTATCTATCTCCTATATTTCCTCAAAATTAGGATAGCTATAGATTTGATTCAAGTTCAATATTTTTGTCCAGATGGAATATATAATCAGAGGATTAATATCTGCTTGCCCAATAATTAGTGATGCTTAGATTCACTGATTTTTCGGCCCTCCAATGAGGCCACCAGCAGTTTACAAGACTTGGAGCTACATTAAGCCTTAAGATTATTTTGATGAAATAACCACCAACACACTTCAGAATCCTCAACAACCCATCTACAAATTATTATTTTGGAATACTTCCTTTTGAAAACAAACTGCCTATAGTAAATTTTAATTAAAAATGGACCTTCAACTAACGGGATTGCTTTTTCCCCTCCAGGCCAGTGTTGGTTGCTGCCAACAGCGAGTGGGCCACGGCACAGCCCAATGTGAAGGCTGCAGTGACGGGGTCAGGCCTCTGATGTACATTTACCCAGTTTCTCCACTTTTCCTCTCACAGCCTTTCCTTATCTTTGTGGTTCTCCTCTGAACCCTTCGTGTTTCATTTCCCCCAGGGATCCCTAAAGTGAACACAACATTCCTAGCACATACTCTGAGACTCTGATCCTTTACTGCATTTCAAGTTTGAGGATCTGTGGAATTAGCAATTATAAAATGGACTTGAAAATTTGAATCAAGAAACTTAAATTCATAAGAAAATTCACTCCAAGGTTGGTTTTTAAGTGCCATCTTGAGTACTTTATTTTCAGTAGTTATCATTCAGGAAATCAATAATGATAATATGATGCTGAGAAAAGTAATTCTAACTACCATTACAGTAATGCTTAATGAGCTGCTGGAACCAGAAGTCAAAGAAAGTATTCCTGAAACCCAGAAGACCTGCAAATCTGTATCCAACCCACGTTCCAAGGAAAAGAAATAACCTTTGGAAGTCAAATTGAGAAGTGTAGTCAAATTAATTGATTATATGTTCATTAACTGTACAAAGCAGGGACTTAATCTGAATGTCAGGAAGAATTATCTTTATTGTGGCAAAATACATATAATATAAATTTATCATTTTAATCATTTTCAAGTGTACAGTTCTGGTATTAAGTACATTCACAATGTTGTGCAACCATCACCACAATCTACCTCCAAAACTGTTTCACCATCCCAAACTGAAACTCAAACACATTAAACAATAAATCCTCGCCAAAACCGGTTTGGCTCAGTGGATAGAGCGTCCGCCTGCGGACTGAAGGGTCCCGGGTTCGATTCTGGTCAAGGGCATGTACCTGGGTTGCGGGCACATCCCCAGTGGGAGATGTGCAGGAGGCGGCTGATTGATGTTTCTCTCTCATCGATGTTTCTAACTCTCTCCCTTCCTCTCCCTTCCTCTCTGTAACAACTCAATAAAATATATTTTTTTAAAAAAAATAAAAATAAATAAATCCTCATTCCTCCCTCTCCCCAACCCCTGGTGACCACCATGCTCCTTTCTGTCTGCATGATTTTGACTACTACTCTAAGTACTTCTTATAAGCAGGATCATAAGTATCTGTCCTTCTGCATCTGGCTTATTTCACTTAATATAATGTCTTTGAGTTTCATCTATGTTGTAGCTTATGTCAGAATTTCATTCCTTTTTAGGGATAAATAAACATTTTGTTTACCGAACCATCCATACATGGACATTTGAGTTGTTTGCAACCTTTTGGCTCTTGTGAACAATGCTGTTATGAACATGGGTGTACAAATATCTGTTTGAGCCCCTGCTTTCAGTTATTTTGGGTATATATCCAGAAGTGGAATTGTTGGGTCATAGAGTAATTTTTAAGTTTAAATTTTGGGAAACTGTTATACTGTTTTCCATGACTACTGCCCTATCTTACATTTCCATCAGCACAAGGGTTCCAGTTTCTCCACATCCTTGTCAACACCAGTTCTTTTCAGCTTTTTAATAATAGCCACCCTAGTGGGTATGAAGGAAGAATTTTTAATAACTAGATCTGCACTACAGTGGACCGAGCTGTCCAGGAGACAGGGACTGATGGATATGCTCTATCAAAGACTGGATAGACTGACATGTTCACTAGTGCAAGTTGTGCACTGTCCAAATATATCTGATCACAGGGTGAGTAGGGGCTGAATCCAGCACACGTTTCACATGCCAAGGTACAAACCCAGGTGTAGAGCTGCCCCTTCTTGGAGGAAGCAATAACTTGTCAGGTTCAGAGAAGCATCAATCAGAACGTCAAACCTCAGAGGGAAGGTAGGGGAGAGATCAACCAAAAGACTTGTATGTATGCATATGAACCTAACCAATGGACACGGACACCAGGGGGGTGAGGGCATGAGCCGGGGTGGGGGGTGGGGGGCAATGGGAGGATAAGGACACATATGTAATACCTTCATCAATAAAGAAAAATAAATGTTGTCAGCTGACCGGGTCATGTGCTCCAAGGGGCACCATTTTCATTTTTTAATGCAAATTAAGGCACTTATAAAAGCTACTGGTTATCCTGGCTGACTGACTGATTCCTCATCATGGGGATACTGTAATACAATAGATTAGTAATGAGTCCAATTGGTAGATGACTATTAAGGCCCCTTTCAATGGTGATACTCTGTGGATCTCTTTGATGGTTGTACAAAATGCCCCCCAAATTATTTGACACTGTGCACTGACAGTGGAATCGATATCCTCTCACCTTGCATCTGGGATCTGTGACTGTTTGGCTATAGAATTCTGCAGAAGTAACCCTGTACCAGTTTCCAGGCCCAGACCTTAAGAAACTAGCAGCTCCCACTTCCTTCTCCTGGAACACTCCTTCTTGGAACCTAGCCACCATGCTCTGAGGAAGCCTAAACCACTTTGTAGAGAGACGCCCATCACCAAGTAGGTGAACTATCTTGGAAGTGAAGCCTCCAGCCCCAGCAAAGATGAGCTGTCCTAGCCAAGACCCACCCAAATTGCAGACTGATGAGTAAAGTGGCCACTACCGGTTTAGGGTGATTTTCTTTAGTTACAGTAGATAATCAGAACAGTCTGTAATATAATGTGACCATCCAGTCCTCCACATACACATTTCCACAATAAGTCTCACACCAACAGTGAACGAAAGAACTCTGAGGCAAGGCCTTCTCTAAGGAGCCCTCAATTTTTTCTCACATGTCACAGGCAATGGCCTTTGTCTCTCATTTCCTCTCCCACTGCCTAATTTAGGATAAACTCACTATCATATAAAGATGCTAAGATCCATCTTCTGCAGCATCTGCACCCTCACTGTTTGGATTTCCAGAGGAATCATAGGTTTCTCTGAGCCACACACTGGACCCTCCATAGACTTTCCAGGGCTCCTGCTTTGTCCTGGGCTAGTAGCCTTTGGGTGCTGGCTTCAAGAGACAAGACAGAAGCAAAAGGTACTTGATCCAGTAAAATACAGTCCAAGTGGGCTCTTCAACCTGCTCTGAGTTTAAGAGGGAGCATATGCCAAGCAAAGGGGCAGGGAAAGCAGAGGAGCAGCCGAGCTTGGACCCTAGCTGCCTCTGTCTGCAGTGGCTCCACCACCGATAAAATCTGCCTGCATTTCCCAGGAAGGGAATGGGTTTCTCTGCTTGCCTTCCTCGAGTCGGGCTTGTGTGATGAACTATCCTCCTTCCTGGATTATCACTCTCCACGCCCCCACGCCCCCCCCCCCCTCTTCATTTCAGGAAGGAAATAGTTAAAACAAGACTCCTGCCCTGCAGGGCCTGGGAGGGGGCGGCTCTGTGCTTTATAGTGGCTGCCTCTAAGGAGGGCTGGAAGCTTAGGACGTTCTTTCTGTCCTAGAGTAAAGCAGAAGGTCGGGGAGATTTTGGAGAAGGGGAGGACAGACAGTCGGGGGGCGTGTGCTCCTCTGGAGTTTCCTTTTTCTTCCAGTCCTTGCGCGCGCAGTCATCCCTGTGGTCTGGCGATTGTGGATCGAGGTGGCGAGGCTCCATCCCCGCTGGTGGCCAGAGGCTGGGGGCTGGGGAGACCTCCGCACAGAAGCGGTGCCCAGGAAGTTTTCCGACGCAGAGGCAGCAGTGCAGCCCGCGCGGGAGCCCAGGACCCAGGCCACCCAATCTCTCCAGCTCTGCTTCTCTCGCCCAGCCGCCCAGCCGCCCAGGTGCCGAGCGGACCGGGGCAGCCGTCTGCGCCCGCCTAGCTCCACGGTCGGTGCAACTCTTTCCTCTCGGGGACCCGCCAGGGGTGGGGGAGATGTCGCCTGAGCCCCTCGGTTGGGAGGAGAGGGAGCAGGCATCAATTCCGCCCGGCGCCCTGCACCTTGGGCCACCCTCCCACAAGGTCTAGGGGTGCGTGGTGGCGCCGGCGCCTTCCTAGGAGGGGCTCTTTGCGGGCACGTCTGGGGTTTGAGGAACTGATTGAAAGCCCGCTGCCTACCCAGGTGGGATTCGGATTTTTAGTTAAAGGAAAATATACAGTTCTCCCTGGGTCTCCCTTTTCCCCGGGCACGCAAGAACTTTATGGAACATCACACCCCTGTTGCAAGCTCCAAAGCCTACTTGTGAGAGGTGTCCCGCAGCCTTTTCTTAACTCGCCTGCTTCTGCTCCCTGCACACCCGGGGTTGTCAAGGGCAGCCAAGGGCACTCGGTGTGCGGGACACATGTTTTGGAAAACCCCCGGGGCAGCTGGTTTGGAAACCTGCCTGTGGATGTCTGGGCGTTTGGTTCTATGCTGTCCTTTAAAGGCCACTTGTTGCCTTTCACGTGCAGAAAACTAGGGCTGTTTCTAGATAATCATCCTCTGTTTACACCATCCTAATGGCGTTCCGGATAGAGCTGGCGGCGGAGAGGGGTGGGTGGGAGGCAAATTAAAGTCAGACATTGTCAGCAAGGACAGTTGCTGACATCTTACCCAGCGAGCAAAACGCACAGAGAACTTGTAGAAAGTACCTAGTTTTTTGTTTTTCCTCTTGTAGATAGTCATGGCTTCCCTCGATCCCCGCCTCCCCCTCCCCAATACCTTCTGTTTTAAGTGGCAACTAATTGGGAAACATCTTGACAATCATTTCATGTAACTACCTGCTCTGAACTCAGACCATTTAGGTAAGGTTGGAATTTCCAAATTACTAATTACAGTACAGGTCCACTTTGATCCTGAGAATCAGAGATGTTAAATGGTTAAAGTGTAAGCATAAGGGTCCAGTCCTCTTTCTTAATAATAACTTTTGAACTTAAGCGAATTCTTAGACCCCAAACAGAAGAATGCTGAATGTATAAACCATGTCCCTGAGGTCTGAACCTCAGATGCTTCACTAGAGCTATGACTGGGTATGACTGATTATTCCAAGCACAGCACGACTTTGATCCATGGAAATGAGCTACAGGCTCATCCTTGGAGGAACATGCATTTGAAGGAGCTTCTTTTGTGTGGTTTTCTATTTTTCATGCAATATGTGGTATTCACCTGCCTTTGCCAAGTATCCGGTAGCTCCACAGCTTAACATGTAGAGAGCTGATGGAGGCACCATCAGAAGTGATTTCTGTGGTGGTGTCATTGTTGCAGGGGAAGGAAAGTGGTTTTAATAGTAGCTAGCTCACACTTTGATAAGAACCCACAGCCTTGGCCTCCTTAGCTCCTGCTATAATCAGCTGACCAAGCAGACCAGCAAGCTAGTGTTCAAACACTAGTGGCACCTTTTGTGGGTGGCGGAATACGTTAGCCAGGTCAGTTTACTAAATATCCTCTAACAGACTCTAATGGGCAGGGAGTCATTCCATTACTGAGAAAAGCCTTCTCTCTCTTAGTTTTAATAAAACCATTAATGAAGGTTCCATTCTGATTGGGAAACTGGGAGGAGGCTTTAGTCATTAAACAGCAACAAGATATTGAAGGATTTTTTTCCTCCCTTCTCTGATCTGAAGAGGATGACAGTATGCTTTGTTCTCAGAGTCCTGGTCCCCAATGCTGAATGGAAACAGGGTCTGTCAATATTAGGTTAGATACTCACTCCACAATGTAAGAAGCAAGAAAAAAACTGCTTATAAGTCCAGGCAGATTTGATATGTACATAGTATGCCCCTAGCTTAGAAAAATTGATGCTTTTTATCACTTTTTATTATTTATTTTTATAATATCAGACTGAGTCAAGTCCTATAAGCAAAGTAAAGTGAAGCACTCTATCTGCTGAACTGCTTCTTGGCCATGAAAAAGACTCAGTTCCTTATGCATAAAATGGGGATATTGGCCCTGCCCACCTAGAGTTGTTTCTGAGATCTATTTACTTTAGATCTTCTATACAACATGAATAAATCTCATTTCCTCCACATATTGACTACGCTTTATTGATAACTGTCAAAGATAACTCAAAATCCCTAAAAGTGGTTAATTCCAACCATGAATAAACTCAGAAAAAGGACACAATTTTTAAAAATTAAATTTTATGTCATAGACACACGCACCATTGATGGGCATAAATGAACTTAGGGCCTTCATTTTAAAAGATTGTTAAAAACTCACAAGCAAGAAAATACAAAACTATTTAAATGTGAGGAGCCATTTTTGTTTACCTTTGCTTATTGTGTTACCACCAACCCCCCTCATTTTCCCATCTTTTCTTTAAGGATTAAAGTAGAAAAACGTAGACTTCCTGGGCAAGAAAGACCACTTGCTCTACAAAAGTGACTAAAACAAGCAAGCAAACAAACAAATGGTCTTTTGAAAACATCTCACCAACCTCTAAGTCCACTGCTTTACTGAAACTCTGGAGAATTCATTCAAACATTTCAGGTGCTAAGAAGGCATGAGAATGAGAGGCAGTGCAGGCTAGAGGTTAAGAGCTCAACGTTGGATTAACTTGCCTTAGAATCACAGCATTGCCATCCACCACCTGTGCTTTTGACAAGCATCTTGACGTTCCTGAGCCTCTGGTTCCCTACCTTTAGAACGGAAAATGTATCTGCTTCACAGGGTCAGGGAGAGTGTAGATCAGATGGCAACATGCCTATGGAGTGCCCAGCACCGTGACTAGGCATGAGACAGATATCCCTCGGAAAACCAGTGGTGTGCCTGCCTGGGGAAGTCCATTACTCCCAGTTTCACTTGTTGGCAAATATCATGCCGTTAATTTCTCAGGAATGGAAAAAGCCAAAACTCCTGTCAAAAGATGTACTAGTAGATTGTACACATTAATCATCAGGGTTTTCAATAAAAAATAAATATTTTGTCTTTATCAGTTATGCCATGTTTATTTCAAACTAGTAGTAAAATTGTTATGTAGAGATGGTGTTAACCAGAGTTCTGATTTTAAATTAACGTTGTGTAATGCTTTAAATGGCTATCTATGCTGCATTTTATTACCATGTTCATTATTTACCATATGCAAACTAGCACATATTTTGGAATATTGGATTCTTAATTATAGAATTGGTAATCTTATGCCTTAGCACAGCGGTTCTCAACCTGTGGGTCGTGACCCCTTTGGGGGTCAAACGACCCTTTCACATGGGTCGCCTAAGACCATCGGAAAACACATATATAATTACATATTGTTTTTGTGATTAATCACTATGCTTTAATTATGTTCAATTTGTAACAATGAAAATACATCCTGCATATCAGATATTTACAATACGATTTGTAACAGTAGCAAAATTACAGTTATGAAGTAGCAACGAAAATAATTTTATGGTTGGGGGTCACCACAACATGAGGAACTGTATTAAAGGGTCGCGGCATTAGGAAGGTTGAGAACCATTGCCTTAGCACTATATAACTTTCACTCAGCATTTAATGCCTTTTCTTTTCCACTAATAAAATGTATCTCAACTCTCCAAGATTTTTGTAATTCAGGTTCTTAGCAGAGGTATAGTGGATGGAAAACAGCAGCTTTTAAGCTACTTCTTTAAAAAAAAAAAACCTGACATATCCTCATGCGTATTATAATCTAGATATAAGTATAGTTGTGGACAGAGATGAGAGAGAGAGAGAGAGAGAGAGAGAGAGAGAGAGAGAGATATAACTTGCCCTAATAGAGCTTTGCTCTTTTCTGATTTTGTTCTGCTTTGGGGTAAGCTGACATAGATATATCTTATCTAATTACCAAATATATCCTGCTTTTTAACTGGAGCAGTAAATAATCATTGACTGCAGTCTTACTGGCAGCTGGATTTTGTAACCAAAATTATTTTTCTTTTTTTTCTAGGTGGAAAAAAAAAGTGAGGGTGTAAAAGCAACAGAATAAGAGACATTTCCTCAAATTTGCATCAAGATGGAAACCTTTTGCTTCAGGGTGTCCTTTTGGGTGGCACTGGTTGGATGTGTAATTAGTGATAATCCTGAGAGCTACAGCACAAATCTAAGCACTCATATGGACGATTTTACCACTTTTCGTGGGACAGAGCTCAGCTTCCTGGTTACCACTCATCGACCCACTAATTTGGCCCTACCCAGCAATGGCTCAATGCACAACTATTGTCCACAGCGGACTAAGATTACTTCAGCTTTCAAATACATTAACACTGTGATATCTTGTACTATTTTCATCGTGGGAATGGTGGGGAACGCAACTCTGCTCAGAATCATTTACCAGAACAAGTGTATGAGGAACGGACCCAACGCGCTGATAGCCAGCCTTGCCCTTGGAGACCTTATCTATGTGATCATTGATATCCCCATCAATGTATTTAAGGTAGGAAGTAACCACAAATGTATTTGCAAGTTTGAACATATGCTCTGATTCTGCAGTAAGAGAGTTGCTGCACACTTTTCTGACCTTCTGGATTTTAGTCTGTTTTTACTGAGAGCAGTTTCTGCTATCTTACAACTAGTGGCATTTTAAATGTTTATTATTTGTTAAATGTTACACTTAATTTTCTAACTTAATTGTTAACCAAATAGTATTGCAGGAGTGACTCCTCAAAGTGAAGGTCTTTCATGCAGCATCGGCTTCTTATTGCTGAGTGGATAGGCAATTTTGGAGAGATCACTTAATTTTTCTGAGATTTAATTTTCAGGGTGAGACCTACTGAGCCCAAAAAGTGCTCTACATAAATGTATTCAGTTGCAGTTAACCCTTTTAATGTAATGTTCTGCAGAAGCCCAATGTCCACAGTATGGCTTAGAAGGAAAAGCACCGGTTTTATTTTGACTAGATTGATGAGTGAAGCCCACGCACATGCTAGCTTTCTTGGTTATCTGGGTGACTTAGAGATAATAGGATCCACATGATAGCAGGCCCCTGGGGACCTCAGTGACCAGTATTACTAAACTGTTTAAAATAGGCATCAGTTTACCTTTGCTTCTTTCATTTCTTCAGTTTACGTTTAAGGAGTGCCTACTGTGTGCCCGCCCCTGAGCTGGGCAATGGGCTCCAAAGACAAATGAGACAAAGTTAGTGGGAGAGGAGGATAACTCGCCCACTGCTACCATGGTCACCTTGCTTTCAGGATGAGTTAGTACCAAAACAAACTAAAGCCAAAAGGAATTAGATGTTACATATTTGATTTCTGGATGTAAGGGGGAAATTGCTGAAAGAATTCAAATGAACTAAAATTCAAATGAAATCACGATCTATGCCAGATATTCTGGAATGTCTTTATTCTAAGCCCAGAAAAAAACACTTTCTTCAGCCTTTATTTTTTTTCTTCTCTGTATTAGCCATAGAAATGAAACAATTCTGAGCAATCATATTCTGAAATAGGACTTTAAATGGCAAGTTATGTCAACTGAAACACATAGCTTTTAAATAGACCAGTAGCTTTCGGTTTCCAATAGATACACTTAAACTGTGACAAAATTTTATTAATGTACCAGGAAAATCAGTGGGCTAACAATAAAGTTGTAAGCAATGATTACAATTTTCAACACTACAAATAAAAAACATTTCAAAATTCCTTCAATACACTGCAAAATTGGGGAAATTAGGCAACAAATAATATTTTTTTAAAAAATCACATATCATCTCTTTCCACAGAATAGCATGAATACATGTGTTTTCTATTTGAAATTAAAATGGGATTTTAGAACCAAACAATGATGCAAATGAAAATGTGTAATTAATTTAAAAGGTTTAACGTATGCTAGAGAACTTCAATTTTTTTCTTTACAAGGTTATTTTCTCTTTATGAAGTATTATGTGTACTCAACACCCACTTTCTTGTGACATATTTATTTAATCATAGATTTAAAAATGTTGATATGGCTCATTCAAAATTTAACTCTTCAGCAGTCATGGTGTGGAGTAATAAACATTAATTATTCATGTTTATATACAAGTTAACCATATGGCTCAGGAGAATAATTAACCATCTCTGAATTAGTCCCATTTGGCCATGTACAAAGCAGCTTCTTGACAAATTAATATCTGCAATTGCTGGGAAGGGGACTTGCTTGTTGATTTAAGGTGCTACCTGCCAATCAACAGACCAAACTTCATTTCTATTCCATAGTAACATTTTAAGTCAGATCATGTGGACTGTCTTCAAATTTGTTGAAAATCCAAAAAGAAAAAGTCTTTGTTTTACATTCATATAATAATGGATAAAAATTAATACATTCTTATTTGACTATATGGTTCTTACCTCTTGGGAATCTAATATGGTCAGCCCTCTGTATCCACAGTTTCTGCTTAAGCAGACTCAACTGACTACAAATTGAAAATAATCAGAAGAAAAGGCTATGCTGTTGCAGACATGACTATGTAGTTAGGCGTACAATGGTTGTGTCAATGATTAACATATACAGACTTTTCTTCTTGTCATTATTCCCTATATAATCTATATAATAAAAGCCTAAGCAACTGTTAAGCGGAACGACCAGAATGACCAGTTGCTATGATGCGCACTGACCACCAGAAGGCAGATGCTCAACACAGAAGCTGCCCCCTGGTGGTCAGTGCACTCCCATGGGGGAGTGCTGCTCAGCCAGAAGCCAGGCTCATGGCTGGCAAGTGCAGCGGCAGTGGCGGGAGCCTCTCCCACCTACGTGGCAGCACTAAGGAGCTGCGAGCTGAGCAGTAAGGAACAGCTAGCAGACAGGCGGTAAGGAGCAAAGGGTCCCGGACTACGAGAGGGATGTCTGACTGCTGGCTTAGGCCCGCAGCCGGTGGATATTCCCCGAGGGCTCCCAGACTGCGAGAGGGTGCAGGCCGGCTGAAGGCCCCTCCCCGCCCCCCCCCCCAGTGCACAAATTTTGTGTACCGGGCTTCTAGTACAGTATATCAGCTATTTACATTGTATTAGGTATTATAAGTAACCTAGATATGATTTAAAATGTACAGGAGGATGTATGTAGATTATATGCAAATACTATGCCATTTTATATAAGGGACTTGAGCATCCAAGAATTTGGTTATTGGTGGGGTCCTAGAACCAAACGCTGCAGATACTGAGGGATGACTGTACAGTAAAACCTACTGTAGTTTTAAATAATGTAGTCAGTGTGAATGTGGTGCTGTTGCATCACAGGAGTACATTTGTGTAATTTCTATTTTTCTAAAACTCATATAGTGAGTTATTTAACCAACGTTACTTTTAGAAAATAAACCTTTTGGTTTCAACAAAAATACTCTTTAGTCATTTCAATCTTGTACTATTTTCAATCTTGCAGACTGAAAAGAGAAAAGCATTGGAGTGAGCTTAAAATATTGGTGGAGCTATTTCTATTTGCTTCTCTCAGTCTTCTTCTCTAGGTTAGGAGGCCCTAAGATATTGCTGCTTCTCTGACTTCTGACCACAAGAGTCAAGAGAAATCCTTCCAAGCAATGTGAGTGCCAGGTCCTCACGCCTTTGCTCCACAGTTGTCTCCTGTTGTAAGATTCTGATGCTTTGGGGTCTCACATAATGGGCCTGTGACTTCTCTTCAACTATGTTAAACTATCTCTTTACTTCAGGGCAAAGTAGCAGCTGTCCATCTCACTTTACTATTATGCTTAGGTATCCATGAAATGAAAACAATGTGTAGACTTGGAGAACATTCTGTTAAAAGGATGCATGAAGTTTTCCCCCAACCCCCATTAGAAGAATTAGGTTGAAAGAAGAATGTGAAAATATTTGTTATGCTCTTTAAAGAACGATGAGTTTTCAAATCACACAGGTTACTGTGTGTAACAATTCTATCAGTTGCTTTTATACTCAGTTCCAAGGTGTCTCCAGGCAGAGAACATTACCCTGAGTCTCTAGAGCCAGCCTAAGTGGAAGGAGACAATGTGAAGATTGCATCTTTGGGCAAGGGAGACTTGCTGATTAGACTGCAGTAATGTTACAAGTGATTAAGTGTTCCTTCTATTCACATTTTATTCCCTTTCTCTCACTTTGAAAGAGAGTGTACTGAAAATGTTCCATATATGAATGTGATGTAAAACACAACTGAAAAGCAAAGCAGCTGAGCTGTTTCTAATCTGTCATTATTCCGTTCAGGTAGTGCAGAGTAGCTCTGGACAGTCTGTGGGCATGCAAGAGGGGATCACTCCACACAATTTCCAAAAGTTTCCAAAAGATCTCTACATCATCAGAGTTTCTTCCCACCGGCCTATACTGGACTTTGCTTCTATTTATTGATTGAATGTAACTCTGCCCAAAACACCCAGGAGCTCCCATGTTTAGTAGTCAAAGCCCTCCCCACTCTGGACATACTTTACCTACTTCTTAACCACTTCCCAACATGCATGCTCAGCTCTGTTGGAATGCCTTCACTATCCCTAAGTAACATGCTGTGCCCTAAATAACATTCACAGAGTCACCAAATTGCTGCTGCAGAGACCTTTACAGATCCTAAATTGAAAAATGAGTTATGCCTGGAGTTATGTTGCATTGAGAAAAAATAAACCAAAAGCTGGAAAGAAACTCCTCTAACCCTTACCTACACTCACACACGTAGACACGTTATATTAACTGGTGACAAAATCCGACATTCTGAGATAGTAAAATGTAAAGCAGAAGGAACCTAAAAAAGCAAATTAATGCCAGTTACTTTCTTAGTTTTCAAGCATAAAAGGGCCTTGCAAATGGCAATACTGAAGAAAACCTATTACTAAGTTTATCAAAGAATCACTCTATCTAGTTTTTAATTGTTCAAAAAACATAGTATCTCTAATTTCAAGAAAAGACCAAAAAGAACAGGAGGGAGGAAGGGAAATGAGTTAGCAGAACCTTTCAAATTCCCACACTTATAACCTAACTGATAATGAATTCAATTTGTCAAGAAATCACATTATTTTATACCCTGAATTTTCAAGAAATGCAAAAACTTAACCATGTAAACTAATCTATATATAAAATATATACATTCATTACAAAACAATTAAAATATTGTATGTTTTTAGGGACAAAAACATAACCCCCAATTACTTAGTGGCAATATGGATAGAAGTATAGAACTTAATAATTATATTCTTTAATGATTCATAAGATTTTGTGTATGGAGTGTTGTCTATAGCAAGTTGGATTATAATCCTATATAATAAAAGGGTAATATGCAAATTGACCCTAACAGAACGACTGGTCGCTATGACAAGCACTGACCACCAGGGGGCAGACACTCAAAACAGGAGCTGCCCCCTGGTGGTCAGTGTGCTCCCACAGGGAGAGCTCTGCTCCGCCACAAGCCGGGCTGATGGCTGCGAGCTGCGAGCACAGCAGCGGTGGCAGGAGTCTCTCCTGCCTCTGTGGCAGTGCTAAGGATATCCAACTA